GCCGCCCTGCGCCGCCTGCGCTCCCCCGGGGGCCGGCGCAAGGCCGCCTCCACCTGCGCCTCGCACCTGGCCGTCACCTTCCTGCACTACGGCTGCGCCACCTTCATGTACGTGCGGCCCAAGGCCAGCTACTCCCCGCGGCGGGACCGCGCGCTGGCGCTCGTCTACACCAACGCCACGCCGCTGCTCTACCCGCTCATCTACAGCCTGCGCAACTGCGAGGTCACCGCGGCCGTCCGCAGGGTGCTGGGGCGGGGGCCGGGCGCGGGCTCAGAGTCCGCATGAGCCCTGAGAGCCCGCAGGGCCGGCTCCGCTCCCTGAAGTTTCAGCAGGTGGCCTCTGCAACAGGAATGCCACCAGGGGGGCTCAGGGACGTCCATGAGTCGGCAAACGGTTACAAACTGTTTAAGTACCACAGGGGACTAAATAAATTAGGATTCCCCCCATGATGGAATCCTATGCAGCTGCCCCCGGGGGGGCGGGAAGGGGAGAGGGAGGCCTGGAACCATCTCTCGTCTACGTTGCTAAGTGAAAAGAAAGGCGCACTGTGCCATGTATCAAGGGGTCATCCCTGAGCCTGGCCTGGTCCCTGTTATTTCCACCCCTGGAAGGCTCCTGCCTGAGGTCCTCGGAGGCTGGCTCCTGGTCATTCAGCGGCTGTCTCGTCCCCAGGATCGACGCCTCGCGGAACAGAGGCCCGCAGGGGTCACCCTACGTAGCACCACCTCTCCGCCGCCTCTCCCGCCATCATGCTTTCATCGCCCAGCATCGCTCGTCGTTGGACATGATCTGACACTTTTTGATGTTTTAATTGCCTGTTCCTCCCAACAGAATGTAACCTCTGTGAGATCTGCCTGCGACATCCCCTGTTCCTGAGCAGCGTCAGGCACACAGCAGCGGCCTAGAGGCGTCGAATGAAGCAGTGAGGAACAATGTTATGATATGACAGCATCTCTATATAAAAACACATAGAATATAAAGTGTGTGTGTGTTGTGTGTGCTCATGAGTGTCCTGTATGGTTTACATGCACACACACACACACACACACACACACACAACCAAATGAAGAGTCTGAGGAACTGAGGGACAGAGGTGGGACAAGCCTTCACTTCTCATTGAACACTTTCCTTATAAACATATGTGCATTACTTATTCAATAAATGCTTACAAAATAAAAATAAAAGCTAAGCAGAGGAAGAGGAATACAAAGAGGAGTTTTGTTTTTTTAAAAGAACAATCAGAAAAATAGGAGAAAATTCAAGATAGCGTGATGTCACAGAAACCAAGGAAGGGATGGAGTGATCGACAGAGCCAAATGATACTGCTGTTTCTAGAATAATATGACACTGGAGCTGGAGATGGTGTTAGAGATGTATAATCCAGCCCAAAGAACACCAAATTCACCTGTGTGAGCCTCAGCAAAGCATGTGCAAAGATCTGGCAGCCGAACAATGCCCATGTCCAGAAATATTGTCTAGCCAGAGACCATGCCCTGGCTGGGTGCCAGGCCCCAGCCGCTCGTGGTGTCTTTGCTCTTGTTTTTATTATTGTTCCTGGATGAACTGAGTGTCCCAGGGGGGTGGCGGGGTTTGTCTTGCTGGACTGCTCTCTGCCTCTCTTTCCTGATTTGTAAAGGAGTTCTGAGATGGGAAAGCCAGTGGGGTGAAGGGATGGAAAGGCTGAGATCTAACTTGGGGGCTGAGGCTGAGATCAACAAGGCAGATAGATCAACCAGGGTTTTGATTGCATTAAAAATATGATAACAACGCACTCTAGTAAATGAAGCATAAAAATAATTTATAAGGGATATTTAGAAACCTGTAGAATCTCTAGGAGGGCTACAGAGTTGGGCATGGAGACAGGGAAGCCATGCCCCACAGTTCTGCTGCTAGGGACAGAGCACATATCACACTGGGGATCAGGCACCAGACCCTCTGCCCTGAGAACCTTGCTGCTTCCATCACCTCCTTCCCTACGTGGGATACTTCTTCACATCACTCTTTCCTGAAACAAAATCATGCCTGCACATCTGACTGAGAAAGTCTCAGTTATGGGGAAAGAGGCAGTTGTAATAGGGAAGGGGTTTCAGGGGAAGACGAAAGACACTTAGGGTGACTTCCAAGAAGGCTTGCTGTGTGATGCGTGATCTAGCCCTGCCTCCTTCAACCCATCGAACGCCACAGTGAAATCAAGTACCTGTCAGTGCCTTGGGATGTATGGTTCATATGCAGGGGACAGAATCCATTTTAATATCTTTTATGAAGTTGCAGAGCCTTTGGAGAAATAAGAGGGAGCAATTAGGGGTGAAGCTCTCCTGGTATCCAGTGACAGATACTTAAATAGCTGTCGTGACACAGAACACCCCTGGGACCTTGGGCTGTGGTGAATGGTGTCCTGAGAGCCCAGCCTGTGGCCAAGAGAGTCAAGAGACTAGGGCACAGATAGTCCCACACTCGCCACATATGGAGCACAGAGACTACAGGAACCAATGGGGAGAGGAAGTCTGAGAATTCCCTCATTGGAATTTCATGGAGTTGAAACTGAAGGCCCCGTCTGTCCACTGGGGGCAGGTGTAATGAACTGAATAGAGGAGAGAGGAGACGACCAGTTTTCCATGCAAGAGGGACACTGCATAGAGAATAGTTGGTATAACGGTTANTCGCCACATATGGAGCACAGAGACTACAGGAACCAATGGGGAGAGGAAGTGTGAGAATTCCCTCACTGGAATTTCATGGAGTTGAAACTGAAGGCCCCATCTGTCCACTGGGGGCAGGTGTAATGAACTGAAGAGAAGAGAGAGGAGACGACCAATTTTCCATGCAAGAGGGACACTGTATAGAGAATAGTTGGTATAACGGTATTTTGGGAATATCAGATCAATATTGTTTTGTCTTTATTGAGTCCAAATTTCTAGTTTTCCTGAGGCACCTAACTCAAAGCCCACAGCCTTTTGACGTGGACACAGATATTTTAATAAAGTAGAAGCACAGGAAATTCAGGGTATGATACAAGGGAAGTCCCCGNTTGGACACTGATATTTTAATAAAGTAGAAGCAGAGGAAATTCAGGATATGATACAAAGGAAGTCCCCAAATTCCTTAGAGAAGGAAAACCTTTCCCTTCTGGCACAGATGTGGGGTGAAAGAAAAAGAGAGAGAAGCACACAGTCAAATATATGTGTCCTGACCACCCCTTTTGATGGACTTAGGTCCCTGAGGATGGTGAGGAGAGGCCCGAAAGCAGAAATGCTTTCCTGATCCCCGTTTGGACACCTGGTGGGAGACGACTGTTCGGGGCAGCCCAGAAACTCCAAGGAGGTAGTAGGACAACAGAACCGCAGCAGTGCTCCTAGAATGTGGGGTGTAGGCCCCAAACTCCTGCATGGTTAAAATAAGAGGTACAGAGGCAGCTGAAAGTTCTACCAGAGAACCTGCGGGTGGANGTTAAAATAAGAGGTACAGAGGCAGCTGAAAGTTCTACCAGAGAACCTGCCGGGACAGGATCAGCTTGGTGGGGAAAATGACTACAAAGCGGACTTCCTAAGCCAGGGCCCCAAAGGAATCATGGTCAGTTTTTAAAGGGGGTGTGTGTCTGGAGAAATCATATTGGGAAACCCTGAAGTAGGACTATTTCATCAAAGGGGTTGCCACAGAGCCCTGACAAAGCCAAGACGACAGTCCTTGAGTCCCTCAGCCACAGGCTTCAACAGAGGATGCCACAGACTAGACCCAAGCACCCACCACTCAGCAGAAACCAGCCATGTGCGTGCAGATGAGAGTAGCTGCCCGGCTGCAGAGGCCAGCACCAGGACCAGCATGAAACACCCTCAGTCCACGTTCCACAACACCCCAGTAGTATCAGTTTCTCTTATTCCCAGAAGACACTTTAAGCAAGGGAAGAAATCAACCAGTCTGATCAAAGGCTGAACTTTGAACTAATTAAATATTTAACTAGTGTTTAATGAAAGATTAAAAAGAAAAATTAAGCCAAAGAAACTGTTTATACTGACTGTAGAACATGAGATATTTTTAATTGGCCTATTATATTGTTTGCTTTTTTTTCCCCCCTCCCCTTACTACCCATCAGGATGTAGAGTCAAGAAAATAAGATCCCTGTAGAAAGCAAAGAAGCTACATTTTCGTTGAACGTCCATGAAGAGTGTATTTTAATTTGTCCCTCTATCACATAAGCAAGTTGACCTTGAAGTAGAAGTTGCTCTGATTCCATGTGTGCGCTACTAATCTATGAAAGAAAGGCTTTATTTACAGAAATAAGCTGTAGTCCATCTGTTCAGTGTTAATACATAATAAAGTAACATCAAGTTTCAAGGAGATGATTCTTATAAAGCATTTAGCACTCATTAAATATTTGTGGCCAGCTTGGCTCATGCGGCGCAGTGGCTGAGCGTCAACCCATGAACCAAGAGGTCACCAATTCAATTCCTGGTCAGGGCACATGCCCGGGTTGCGGGCTTGATCCTCAGTAGGGGGCGCCCAAGAGGCAGCCTTCTATCTCCTTCCTCTCTCTCTAAAATCAATAACAACATATTTTGAAACTATATATTTGTGGCCAAGTCCTTCTTTGTCATCCCCACCACCACCTCTTACATGGTTTTCCCCCAAGTCACATAGAGCAGACCAAAGCACAGAAATGCCATTTAAATGCTCCCTTGAGTGTAAAGCTGGGGAGCAGNCATAGAGCAGACCAAAGCACAGAAATGCCATTTAAATGCTCCCTCGAGTGTAAAGCTGGGGAGCAGAGCAGTGCTCGGACCCTCTCAGGACAGAGCTTGCAGGCGACGAGCTGCACCCAGGGCTCTTGAAGCTGCCGTTGAGTGTAGCAGCTGTCGGCCCACGTAACCTGCTTCCGACGGGTGCCTCTTGACAGTTCACTGGAGAAAGGTAGGGAAACGCTAATTCTTCTTTATTTTAAGTGGAAAGAACTGAAAGGGGAAGNCGTCGAGTGTAGCAGCTGTCGGCCCACGTAACCTGCTTCCGACAGGTGCCTCTTGACAGTTCACTGGAGAAAGGTAGGGAAACGCTAATTCTTCTTTAAGTGGAAAGAACTGAAAGGGGAAGGTGCCTGGGAACCAGATGTTGCAGTTCACTGGAACTAACCTAAACTATTCTAAGAGGAAAGTCTTGCGGCAAGGAGCGGAGGGCGGAGAGGCGCTNTATTCTAAGAGGAAAGTCTTGCGGCAAGGATCTGAGGGCGGAGAGGGGCCGGGGGGGTGAGTGGCAAATCCAAAGGAGTGGAGAGGACCCGGGCAAGCAGCAGGTCT